GTTTCAAGTCCAAAATACTCGTAAGCCGTCCATGGCGCCGCGAGACGGGTATGCGTAGGAATTTCCCCATGTTAAAAAAAGGTTATGCAATGATTCGATCAGTGTTACCTAGGCCGATCTAGTTAAGCTATATTTAAGCCAAACTAGTATATCCTGACACGCATAGGATAAACCGATTTGGCCTAGGACCAGTTTTTTACGTGTCAGAGCCACGTTGCAGCTATATTATGGTAGTAGCACGAATGGATCGGCTCAACCGGGGAAGGAACACGCTCTCACAGAATACCAGCGTAAAATAGCAGTCCTCAGTCCTCAGTCATTCACTTAGCATCAGGTGGACTGTGTGCTCGTTTGTCAACCTTATTCTATAAAAAAAAGTTGTGCTCTAAGTCGTTCCTAGTTTGGTCGATAACATATACATTAAAGTTCTTTGTAATTTATTCAACGTGGAACGACGTTGGAGTAGTGTACGATGTTACAAATACTATCTTGGATTGTTGGTCAAGAGATTGATTACTACAGTAACGGATTAAAGCTCAACTACACATATAGCGGAAGACTGGTAATTAAAAGCTAACAACTTTCGACACTAATAAATAATTAACTTAACTATGTAGTAGTGGTGTAAGTATATATACTACATCATATCATCCCATGCGTGTTGTTTTTTTGAAGGGGGGTGATGCCCTGTTCACACGTATAACTGTCAACACGAGATGTGTTTTGACGTTACAATCGTTTCCAAATTTCACATGCAAATTATTTAGAAAATGCCTAATTGTATACTATTTACAAATAAATATGCATTAAAATTTAAATGATTTTCTTAAATGAAGATCTTAAACATTAATCAAAAGTCTAAAATATTTAAATTTACTCAGTCTGTCAACACATTGAATCGGGTTTGTAGTAGTGTCAATACGACGTAATTGCTTATATGACGGTGACGCAGATCCTCGTAGAAAATAAGGTTGACAGCCATTCTATTGTGTATTACAGTATTTTATGGCTGTAAGAGACAACAAAGCGAAACTAATTTAGAAGATGAGCAACATCATATTGCTAACAACAACTCAAAATATAAAAAAATTGCGGTTGCTAACCCACCTGACAAGCGCGACGGCTGTGGCAAATATGCCTCTAATGGGGCAATCTATAGGTCCTGACTTTACCAACATGAAATGATGATGATGATGCATTTAAGAGTAACGTGAGCATGTTAGTTTTGATGATATAATGATATACGTTGTAGGATAATTAGATAAACTGAATTATAAAATTATAAATATTAGAAATCTAGGGAGATCGCGAAAACACGGATAATTAGATAATGGTTATGACACTTCACAATCTTACTGGAAACAGATTAGGAGTTTTGCAACTTTGAATACACTTACCTCTAATTGGCTTGATTTTATTATATTATTTTATTATTTTATTTTATGAGTAATTATTTTTTTTGTAAAATCATAACCTCACTTTTTGAACAGAAATATTGACTTAAAGTTACTTCTGTAACATCTTCGGCGCTGCAGGAAGTGCAGCCGCTTTGCCCTTGCGTAGCAAATTACTGGTACCTGTACGGTTTTTCAGAGTGATAGAGCCATGCGGCAGTTATATTAGTAGTATAATTGTAGCACGAATGGGTCGGTTCGACCGGGGAAGGACCACGCTCTCACAGAATACCAGCGTGAAATAGTAGCTTAATGCTGCTGTGTCTTTATCGTATGGTTTTCGACCAATAAGCCGAAATAAGTGAAAAGGTAGTAAGTATAAAAATATCGATCATAATCATTCATCATCACCACTTTCAAAGTCCACTGCTAAACAAAGGCCTTCTTAACTTCTTACTACTTCTACTATAGATTGTCTCATTGGAAGATATTTGCCACAGTTGCCACGCTTGAGACAACCACAACATCAACCGTTTTTTTATCCTTTTGAGTTCATATTAGAAGATGTTGCTGCCACTCTCATGTTTCATTTATCTCTGTCACGTCTTACAATGTCCAAGCGATGATATACATTTCGATTGCATCGACAGAAGTTATATTTTAATTAATATTCAAAATTGATTTTTTAATCAATATCGACAAAAAAGTTAAAATAGAAAAAAACTCATCGAAAGTAATAATGATCAGCCAATCGAAATTTTTCAAATTACAAGATGCGTATCGGTTGCCCTTACTAAATTAAACAAGGTGGCACAAAATTCAATCCAATCTAAACTTCCTTCAATCCAATTTGAATTTCCTCACCTCTCACCCCGCCGCCGCCTTTTACCGCCCTCCAGTCCTAAGTCTCATCTCTTCTCATCCGAGCAATTTATTTCGATCATACCTCTCAAAGTGTATGCGTCAATTGGTGCAGGATTTTTGTTAGGTTAAATTTCCTAAGTTTGATATTGTGAAGGGAATTTCGTCATTCACTTTTATTAAATACATAAAAAAGTGGTTTTTGAATAAGTAACACATTTTGATACAATTTAAAATACTTACAACGTAAAGCGATTTTTTTTAAATATTAATCTTCATTCCATGATATCATAAATATCAGTGATGTTATGAACATTATTGCCTCTATATATAAAAATCAAGTATTGTCACTTAGTCTCGAAAAAACTCTAAAAAGGCACCACCGATTTTAATGAATATTTGTGTGTATTTAAGTTGATCCCTGTATGGTTAAAATTCAATTAAACCCGGTAGGTAGCGCTGTTGTCGAGATCTATCATCCGTAGTAAGGCGGGGAGGATCGCTAGCAAAACATAAAATAGCTTATTAAAGTTCACTTCAGATAATGATTTCTTATATTTACGCGACCACTACATATTTAAATGAAATTAGTTTTTATGGATTTTATCGCGTTTATTAACTTATTTTACATTCCTGAGGTTTCAGCACATACTTTTTTACGAAGTAGAGGCATGCTGCAGTTGTATTACTGGTATAGTTGTAGCACGAATGGGTCGGCTCGACCGGGGAGGACCATTCTCTCACAGAACATAACAGCAACATACAACGTAAAGTAGCAGCTTAACGCTGCTATATTTCGTGTAGTCAGTGAAGAGAACCAGAGATCCTTTTTACTGAAATCGATGAATGCTATCTTAGTACTTACGGGTGACAACGCATCTGCGTTTTGATAATAGATGTAGATGTCTGTGGGCCATAGAAACCTGTTACATACGCGATAAGATCCGTACAAACTAGTTTTATTTAAATCCACTGCTGATCATAGGCCAGCCTCAGAGATAGTCTTATAGGGAAGGATACTTGCCCCAGTTGCCACGCTCCAAAAAGTCGACTTTAACGAACTAAAAATAATAAAATAATTTCAGGATCTGAAGCCGGAATTCAAAATGTGAAATTATTTTATTCTTTTCTGTACTTTGAAGTCGGCTTTTATGTTGTATTAAACGCTCACTTTTTACCTATTTGAGCATGAGTATTGCAATCTCAATTTCGTCTAAATAGTACTATTAAAACTTTATCCGCTATTTTGCCACTCTTAGTGGTAGATTTTTTTTCTCTAAATTAGTTCATGACTGAATTATACTAACCAGTTTAATTAAAAAGTCATCAAGTTCTATTCACAAGTGACGAAATTATCGAGTAACATACATACAATAAAACTCGCAGTCAAATAGTGAACCTCCTTTTTTAACTGTGTTAGAAGGAAAACAGTTTTTTTTTTCGTAAATAACAAATTTCGTAGTAAGTAAATGTTAAAGATTACGATCTTTACACATTCATTAGAGACTATCAGGCTAACCTGGTTTTTTCTTAAATAATTTATTACAATTATGGCTTGTCCTGTTACTGGTTACTCTTTGTGACTTGTGAAAAACTTAAGGGGAAATAGTAAAAATACTACCTCAAATGGCTTAGCAAGATCTTCCGTTATGCCGATAATATTGCAGCATTAATTTTGAAATAAATATATAGTAAAGTTGAGGATTAATGTTAAGTACTATGTTAGATGAAAATACAATTCCGCAAAATTTTCTCGATAGAAAAAAAAACCAAAGTTACCTCCAAACTGAACAATAAACCGCTGGTATTCATAAAATACTTTAAATTAGATCATGAAACTTTGCATACTAACTGAACTAACTATAAAGTAGGGCTTATATTTTTTATTTTTTTAATTACAATTATTTTCACCGTAAAAAGAAATTACCTAAACTATCGGCGTCTTGAAGCTTGTTTCCTGCCACCCGACCAGTCTAGCTTCGGCTTTCAAACGGAAAGCTGTGTCGCTTACGATCAGAATAAACATTACGCAACAGGACGACGTAAAATTTAAATGGGAAATAACCGTAATAAAAATAAGAAGGGACTGGGTTGGCGTAAAGAAACAGGCATAAATATGATAAACCTAATGAATTAAGTATCAAACGACCTATCTACTTACAGTATTAATGATTACAAACACAGCATACGGCACGCGGAGAAGTGGGGACGAAATTAGAATTTGAGCTGAGTTACTATAGTCCATCAAGGCACAATTTGACACTCGATGATACTCTCAAGAAACGTACCAAAAGCTTTTTTTAATGCAAGTAAGTGTTACACGAGTATACAGTCCATCTTATGCTTAGAGGATGCGGTGCCACATTTTCATCTATTGACGAACTAAATGTAGTGTATGTGGATCTATTAATGACATTCATAATTTATAAATTAAATTTGTTAAATTCGCGAGAGTAGGAGAATTATTCATACAAAACTTAACTTCTCCGGACCGCGAAAGCGAACAGACGTGTCCTCCTTGATTGTGTTGTTTTAATAAATAAAATAATTCTTCAAAAATATACTAAAAATTCGTGCGTGTACCAGGGCAACATACTCGTAACGTAGTGCCATCCTGCTTCATTGAAGAGGTAAGCTACGCCCTTTGTATATTGCCAGCGTGTATACTAACGTGCATTGGCTGCATAATTTTTGGCTCCACCGTGCAGAAAATTATTGCTTTGCTCAACATATTTAAAAATCATCATGCTTCGTTCACCGAATAAAGCAGGATCAGATTCCGATATCTCCAAATTACCGAAAACCCCTTCTTCGCTTGCGGTTTCAAGACAAAAAAGACGTCACGATGAACTCTCAAGGGATGACTTTCTTTCGTTCAAGGAAGAAGTTATGCAAATGCTGAAGTCATGGAAAGCTGATCATGACAACAGACTATCTAACATGGAAAATAGTCTTACAAATATAAAGAAGATAAATACAGACATAGAAAAGTCACTGGAATTTATATCTCAGAAATATGAGGATATGCAAAACAAAATAATAACGCTTGAAAAACAATGTAAAGATAATCATAAATACATTATATCTCTGGAAGAAAAAGTTGAGGAACTCTATCGAAATAGCAGAAGAAATGGCATAGAGATACGTAATATTCCTGAAAAAGAAAAAGAAAACAAAAACGATTTAACACAATTAGTGATCTACCTCTCGAAAACATTAAATATTAATTTACAATCGTGTGATATTAAGAATATATTTCGTGGCCCCGGAAAAAAGGGTTCCACCAGACCCATAATTGTTGAATTAGTAAACATGTCACAAAAGCAGACAATACTTAGCTCTGTAAAATCATTTAATAAAAACAACCCTAGTAAAAAACTCAATGTGTCGCATTTTGGTATAAATACTAGTGCCTCTCCAGTGTATGTATCCGAACACCTTACCCCTAGTATGAAGAAAATATACTATCTGGCACGTCAGTTAACAAAAGAAAAAATGTACAAGTTTTGCTGGACTGCAAACGGAAAAGTTTTTATACGAAAATCAGACAGATCACCTGCGATATTAATTAGAAATGAAGCCCAATTCGAGGATCTAAAATGTGAATGACTAGATATTGCTTCATGGTGCCTTAAAATACATTTTAACTATTCACTACGTTACTACATGTTAATTTTAAGGTTTATTTCTTTGTTTTTCTTATTAATATTTATAGGATTAGTTTTAAAAATTAGGATCTTAACACAAACACTACATAAACTCACAAACCAACAAACAAAACATACTACACACAAACACTTAAACTCACTCATCAGACTCGTCCTAACTTGTACTGTATTCACAATAAACATTTCATAAAAACTCCATTACTCCTGATAATCACTCACCATAATCAACATGATAAATCTTGCTTTAAATTATATACGCTATTGTACGTTGAACGCTGTACTAACCATTACAAAACCTATGCCCGTAAATTACAACTTAAAAATACCTCATTTATTACATTTTTTGCTTGTTATGTAAATTAACTACACCTATTCAGTACAGTCTATTGTTCAAATAAACAATACAATCTTATTCTCTTACATATACAAATTATACGTCTTAAATGATTATAATAAAAATGGCGAATAATATTAACTCATACATCGACAGTATAGACCAGTGTACATTAAGTGAATCCTATTATTGTTCTCCGGAAGAGGCTAAACATTATATTAAACAACCAAACAAATTCCTAAAGATACTAAATCAAAATATAAGATCGATAAATTGCAACTTTCCTAGTTTACAAACCTTACTTGACCGAATCTCATTTGATTGCGATATGTTGGTTTTAACAGAGTGCTGGTTGCCCTGCTCAAGTAATTAAAATATTCCTTATATACAGCACTATACTATGTACAAAACTTGTAAACACCAAAATCAAAGTGATGGGGTAATTATTTACATTAAATCATGTTATTTGGTAAATATTGAAGAAATAAATTTTAATAACACAGCGTCTGGACTAATTGCTACGATTGATTCAAATACAGTGCTTATTTGCATTTATCGATCACCATCAAATGAAAACATAAAGGAGTTTCTTTCGACACTCAACGCTACACTTACACCGCTTTCAAAATGTAAGACAGTCATAATAACTGGAGATATAAATCTAGATATAAAATCTTCTTCCTTAGATACCCGCAGCCATGAATATCTCAATTGTCTTGCATACCATAGTCTTCTTCCTGCTCACACTCTTCCAACCAGATGAGACAACTGTATTGATCACTTTATGTTGCGCACCAAATACATGGCTGTAGTTTTGGTTTTCGACACCACTATCACTGACCATTATTGCTCTGTTTTGTGTATCGAAAACGAAACAAAAAATAATGTAATTTCCACTATTTCAAAAGTTAACTTTGACAATCTTGATAAATCAGTCGAAAAACTTAACTTAGCATCCATTTATTCCATGTTAGATCCTAATACAGCAACTGAAGCTCTTATTAAACTACTATCGGATGCAATAGCTGAAAATTCATCAGTTAAAAAAATTTCGTCCAGAAATAGAATACTTAAACCGTGGATGATACCGGGTTTGTTAAGGTGTATAAAAATAGAGAGTTATCATAGAAAAGTAAAAAAGTCTCCTAATAATTTAACACTGTATATCACTTATAAGTGGTATAGAAACTTCTGCATAAAAATTTTAAAGAAAGCAAAGAGAGATTATGATGCTCAAGAAATAAGTAAAGCAGGAAAAAACCCTAAAGCACTTTGGGATACTATCAAAAAAATCACAAATACATTCCACAATAAACAAGCAACATGTCAGTTAGTTACACAGGCAAGATCTCTAAAACAATCATGCAATAATGTTAACAAATTTTTCGTTGATGTAGGAAAGGAGCTTGCGGACAATATAATCAAGTCTAACAATTTACCTCAGTTTACTTCTTCACAATCTTTTACATGTATTTCTTCTTTTGTTCTTGAAAAACCCAATACTGATGAAATAATATCAATCATAAAGAGTTTAAAGTCAAATGTAGCTACCGGTTGGGATGCCATATCTTCCGCAATATTAAAAAGATACTCTGCTACGCTAGCACCTGTGCTAAGCCATATATTCAATCTCTGTTTCGAAAATGCTATTTTTCCTAACTCTATAAAAAAGTCTATAATTCATCCCATCTTCAAGGGTGGTGATGGGACTTTAGTTACTAATTATCACCCTATTGCCGTACTACCAGCTTTATCTAAATTCTTAGAACGTTTAGTGAACAATAGACTGGTCCATTATCTTGAAAACTTCAAATTAATCTCACCTCAACAATTCGGATTTCGTAGAAATAAATCAACTTCTGACGCAGTTCATGAATTAATAAATTTCATAGTCACTAATCTAAATAGTCATAAAAAGGTCCTAACGATATTTCTAGATCTATCAAAAGCCTTTGACTCAATTCCTGTTTCTACTCTTTTAGCTAAGTTAGAGAAAATTGGTGTCAGAGGTTTACAGTTAGACTTTTTCAGAAGTTACCTTACAAATCGCACTCCAATGGTTAAAATATCGGACTGCATCGGTGACGAACTCCCTGTTACCTATGGTGTCCCCCAGGGAAGTATTCTTGGCCCAACTCTATTTCTTGTTTTTATTAATGACTTGTGCAATCCTCACATTGATAACGCAAAAATAGTCTCTTTTGCAGATGATACAGCTATTACTTTCTATGCAACATCTTGGAAAGATCTTGAAAATATATCACAACGTAGTTTTAATCAAATATATAATTGGCCTTTATCTCACACTCTTACTCTTAATACTTCCAAAACTAAATTTATAACTTTCTCTATCAGTCCCACCTCGCAACCAAATATTCCCATCAAGTTGAAAGCTCACTCTTGTTCCCTACAGTCTTCGCCTTGTCTGTGTCCACAGATAAATTCTGTAGACAATATAAAGTATCTAGGTATTGTACTTGATAAACACCTTAATTTTAAAATGCATAAATCTCTTAACGAGTAAAGTTCGCAAACTAATATATATATTTAAAACACTACGATATGTTGCAAATTCCATAATTATACGCAACGCTTATTATGCTTTATGCCAGTCTATCATCACATACTGCATTTCTTGCTGGGGTGGTGTTGCAAAAACAATATTAAAGCCATTTGAAGTTGCGCAAAGAGCTATCTTAGAGGTTGCTACTTTCAAACCAATGCTATTTCCAACTACTCATCTATATCAAAACTGCGCTGTTCTTAGTGTGAGGCAGCTCTTTATACTGCACACAGTATTACTTCAGCATAATAAGACTCCTTTCATTGTAATTTCTAAACGGCGTAAAGACAAAGTATGCACACTTCCGCTAGCCAATTTATCATTCGTAAAAAAGATTTTTTTTATTATCTAGGTCCTCTACTTCACAACAAAATAAATGCGGAAGTAGAGATTTACGAAATGTCAATATTTAATTGTAAAACTTCTGTCCGCTCTTTCCTGCTAAATAAGTCATATGATGATACAGAGCAATACTTGTTAACATTGTTATAAAATTACGTCGCATTGTTATATATTTATTTCATTTTTTTTAAGTATTACATATACATTCACTGACACACACCCACACCCACACCCACACATACACACACACACACAAACACACACACACGCGCGCACACACACACACACACACACACACACACACACACACACACAAACACGCGCGCCCGCACACACACACACACACACAGGGAGAGAAAGATCATTTTTATTATGTCTCTAAAATTGTATAAATTTTATTTCTATTTAAAAAATTATAATAATTTTAAACACTACAACTATGTATTCCTAATCAACAGGGGGGATGGGACTGTATCTCCTAAATATAGGTTACTCAGTACCCTAGCTAGGAGACTCAGGTTTTTACCCATATCAAATTGTGAACTATGAATGTCAATAAAGAATTATTATTATTATATATTATTATTATATGTACGTAACTATTTTTATATTTATTTACACGAATACTTGTTACTGAATGAAACTAATTTTATCGCGATTAATTTAACTTATTTTTAATTCACACGGTTAAGGGAGAGGGGGGGGACTGAGGTGTATGACGTCTCGATTTTATATTTAGCCCAGCTACCTTCAGCTTTTGAATATTAGTTTTTGGCCCCATAAACGCAGAACAAGTAAGCTCGTAGTATCTTAAAGTATTACAGTGCTATGCTTAGGTTGGGATATCATTTTATTTATTAAAGAATCCCAAGCAGGATAAGTTGCTCGCGTCCGCAGGCTTCGATCACCTAATTCTAGGCTTACTCTACATGTGTCCCCCGGGTAGTGCTAAATGAACGACAAAAGTGAAGGTACAGACTCGGCTTCTAGCCGAGTGTTAGCAGCATAAAATATACCACTCCGTAGTTTCGCATCATGAGGAAAAAGGAAAAGAAATAGTTCCGAGTTCCCGGCGCTGCTTTAATGGGGTTGGGGTGTGAAGAATCCTTGGGTGGAAAACCGGTGACGGGGTTCGCTACCCGTCACGTTGAAAAGTGGATTGCGGAAGCCCGTCTGGCTACGCTGAATATATGTGGAGCAATGAATGATAAGATGGATGAAGTATGCGATATGATGTATAATAGAGGAATAGTTGTGTTAAGTGTAAATGAGACAAAACGGAAGAGAAAGGATGTCACTACAAGTAGCACGCATACCGCGTACTGATCTAGGGTAGACGAGACCGAGCGGGCATGCCAGGGAGTCAGTATCATCCTTTCAGAAAGAATGGGTCAATGTGTAAAAGAGTATGAATGTGTAAGCCTGAGACTGTTTTGAATACGAATAAAAGTACGACCTGTACTATTCTACGAAATGTAAGGGAAATGAAAATATTGTTATGTTAGGAGATTTTAACTGAAGGGTTGGGGTGAAGAGTATTGTTAAGAGTATGGTTACGAAAGAATATTGGTAACGTTTGTTAATGAAAGTATAAAGAGAATGGTGAAAGCCTTCTCACCGTATGAGTGGACAGGCGTGAGTGGTTATGTTATGTACGTTATGTAATCTCAAGCTATGGATGCACCCAGGAATCTTCTCTATTGAAACTAGAATGCCTTTTTTTAATTTAAAAAGAATAGCGAATCATCCTTGGTAGGAACGGGTGTTCTTTTGCGATGATTGGCGGTTTATTAATTCTGATATAAACACGAGGATAATCTTGAGCATGTGCACAGTATGAAAGTCTTTCAGTCCGGTAAACATGCATAAAATCGTCTCCGCCATCGTGTCAGAATGTAAATATAATAAATTAATAAATTTAAAATTAAAAATTAAATAATAAACTTAAATTTAAAAATTAATAGAAAATAAAAAAAGTAATAAATTAAATACATAAATGCAAACGGGTTGTATTCCAGAAAATTAGTTTTATTCAATAAATATGTAATCGTACGTTTCAGGAATCAGTTCAACTGTTCGAAGAACCACTGCTGCGGATGCTGCCAAATTTTAAATTTACATGGTTATGAAACACCATTGATTCTAGTCTTTCGTATAAGAAGTTTTTCTAATTTATACATATCTCGTTATTCGCTACATTCCCTTATTATATCAGTGAGAATAGGGAATGATGAGAATAAAATAAAAGATAACTATGTTCAAGACAAAACTACTAAATAAATAAAGAAACGAAATAAAGAGACGATTAAAATTTGAAATACAATTGCGTTGACACCCCATGACTAAGATGACAGTAACCTTACTATACTAACAAAAATATCTTCAGTTCTTGTAAGGAATAATACGTGGTATTTCGAAAGAGTTTGGTCGTTTCTGATTTCCATTGATACGGGTAACTCTTGGCCGTATTTTTGCAAGAGTACATTGCATGGGGAAGCCTAGAGCATGTTTACGTAACACTGTGTTATTTATTCCAATGACGAATAATCGAGAGTTTATAGACTTATTACGATCAATAAATATGTCTGGCACATACACATGGAACTATATTAGTAGTCTCCAGACTATCCAGACTATCTTTTCTGGAGAAAACAAACTAGACAGGACGTGTAAAACCGTAACTTCCGAACGATAGAGTGCGTTAACGTCTTAACCTTTGCTTGAACGCTGATACTAGTTTACGACGACCCTTACAACTTTATCTAGAACGTTTGCATAGTAAGAATGGTTGTCATACGACTTTCTGGCTCGTTTCCCGTTGCTTTATTTGCACTGGTATAAACTATAGGAGCTAATAAAAGTTGAAAATCACACTGTTTGAAGCAAATTGAGCTAAACACACGTATTAAATTACCTCTCAGTTCTTAATTCCCTTTTGTTTGCTTGAACTGTATTTTTATGTATAATAGGGGCGACAAACGAGCACATTTACATGTTGGTAAGTTGATGCTGTGGTCCATAGACATCTACATCTATCGTTGATAAAGTATCAAAAATGCGTTGTCAATCCTGAGGATTTTGAGGACCCTGAGGAAAGAATGCCTCGTTTCGAGTTAAAAGGGTCTCCAGTTCTCTACACACACCATACAAAATACAACATAAGAAACATTAAGCTGCTATTTCAAGCTGGTAGTCTGTAAGGGCGTGGTCGTTCTCAACCATACCATATACCATAATATAACTGCAACATGGCTCTACCGTTCACTTTTTAAGATCCGATGAAAATAAACTCATTTTTTTGAATAACTATAGAATTGCCAACTTTTATAGGCGACCAGGGACAAATTATGATAAAACTTAAAAATACGAAAATACTTTTTTTTCCCGTGACAAATAAAATTCGTAGTATTTTAAGTTAATTGTCATTAATTAATTTTGAAATGATACTTTGGTACAAAGTTTAGTGTACACAAATTATGTTTTTGTGATTTTTCATGTTAATAAAAAGAGTCCACGATCTATAACGTAATAAACTTGGTATAGTTATTCTATTTCACTATGAAGGTTTCGCCTTGATTGTAGTAGTGACGCGGTACACGTGGCACACAGGCGCATTTGTGTGTGTCTAACTGCGATTCGTTCGACTTGCGATCGTGATCCCAAGGCCTACGCACACTAACACAATGTGTACGTGCACGGCTAACAACAACCAAATTCAAATCTTCATCGTGAAATAAAATAACTATAAACTGTTCTCTAATTAAATTTAGTTTGCATTTATTACGGATATCAGTCAATTTTAGACTCGCTTGCGAAAATATCATTTCGCTGAAACAATTTGTGCTGCGTCACATGTCAATCGTAGTTCTTCCATGGTATATGGAAAAACTACAAGTAAAGCCCTGACTTCAGGAACTCTCATTTGGATTTTTTTACAGTTTTAACGTTCAGTTTGGAGGCGGCTAATAATGGTTCTCAAAGGTGATAAGCCACCCACAATTTAATTCTCAATCGACAATATATACAAGGGTCGATAATTTACGACATCCACTTACCATTAGATAGAAAATATAAATAGATAGTTAGGATATTTATTTTCAACTTGTGAGAGATATAGAAGAAAAATCAAGCCGTAAATGGTCACATAATGAATAACTTCGATACATTATGCGACACCAATCACCAATCATATACTAATTTTTATTCTAATTCTAAATTATTTTATTCCATTTACGCTTAAAAATAACTCATTATATATGAAGTACAATATGTCCTACGCATATTGTAAATTACTACGTGCTCGGCGGTGACGGAAAACATTGTGAATAAACCTGGATGTCTGAGAAATAAAAAAAAATAAAGACATGAATTCAAGAAGAAGAGGAGAATTAAAGATCACGGAATACCAGTGTAAATAGCAGCTAAGTAATACTGATGTGTTTACAATATTATGGTGACAGACAATTTTTATATAAACAAAGTATTCCATTTTAGTCCTTAAGAGCGGACAATGCATCTGCATTTGGATTATTAATCGAA